TCTTCAACAGTGCGCCTTATAATCTGGTGAGCCTTATAGTGCGGTAAATACGGTAAACAAAAAGTGTGAAATAACATGAAAAAACGTGTTTTATATTTTAAATTCTTCAAAATAGCCGCCCTGTTGCTTTGACTACTGCTTTGCTCACTCTTGGCATTCTCTCGATGAGCTTCATGAGGTCATCACCTGAAATGGTTTCCAACAGTCTTGAAGGAGTTCCCAGAGATGCTGAGCACCTGTTGGCCCTTTTGCCTTCACTCTGCGGTCCATCTCATCCCAAACCATCTCCACTGGAATTAGGTCTGGTGACGGGAGGCCAGGCTATGTGGCGCAGCACTCCATCACTCTCCTTCTTGGTCAGGATGCTGTGGTAGCTATGATGGTTCAGTGTGCCTTCAATGTTGAAGGCACAGTGTGTCAACAGTGTCACCAGCAAAGCACCATCATAATAACATTCTGCCTCCTCCATGCTTCATGATGGGAGCCATGCATGTAGAGATCATCCATTTCCCCGTTTCTGTGTCACACAGGTGGAACCAAAGAGCTCAAATTTGGACTCATCAGACCAAAGGACAGATGTCCACAGGTCTAATATCCATTTCTTGTGTTTCTTGGCCCAAACAAATCTCTTCTACTTGTTGCTTTTCCTTAGTTGTGGTTTCTCAGCAGCTATTTGACCATAAAGGCCTGATTCACACAGTCTGCTCTGAACAGCTGATGTAGAGATGTGTCTGCTACTGGAACTCTGTGTGGCATTAATCTGAGGTGCCGTTAACTTGTGATTTCTGAGGCTGGTGACTCGGAAGACTGTATCCTCAGCAGCAGAGGGACTCTGGGTCTTCCTTTTCTGCAGCGGTCCTCATGTGAGCCAGTTTTGTCATAGTGCTTGATGGTTTTTGCGACTGCACTTGGGGACATATTCAAAGTTTTAGCAATTTTTCGACTGACTGACCTTCAGTTGTTAAAGTGATGATGGACTGTCCTTTTTTTATGTAGCTGATTGGTTCTTGCCATAATATGAATTCTAACAGTTGTCAAATACAACACAACTGATGGTCCCAGCTCCATTAAGAAGGCAACAACTAAACCCTCACAAGGCACACCTGTGAAGTGAAACCGAGTTCAGGTGACTACGTCTTGAAGCTCATTGAGAGAAGGCCAAGGGTTTGTACCGCTGTCAACAAAACAAAGGGCAGCTACTTTCAGAAATCTAAAATATAAGACATATTTAGAGTTATTCATCAATTGTTTCTTTGCTACATAATTCCATATATCTTGCTTCATATAGTTGATGTCTTTGGTATGTATCTACAATGTAGAAAGTAATACAAATAAAGAAAAAATAATAAATGAGAAAATATGTCCAAACGTTTGACTGAGTGAACTTAAACTGAAAGCGAGCCTTTATTATGGCTGATGACATAGAGTTCAAACAAAGCAGAAATACCGTGACTAAACTAAACTATAACTAAACTGGGAAACTAATACTGTGATAAATTATGGAGACTCAGAGAACTATGACGATGACTGCAAAGACTGGTCGTGGAAACATGGAGGGTGGGAACAGACGACGCGTCCCAGACTGAATGAAACACTGGGGCTGTGTCCCAATTCAGGATCTGCACGCTTGAAGTACGCATTTTAAGTGCGATTACGTCACCGCCACGCGACGACGGCTGTCCCAATTCGAAGTGTGCTTCAAATGCGTACTCCAAATGCGCCGTCGATTTCCCCAAATATCAAGCGTGGTCCGGTGCATGCTTCGTGGTCCCATATATCCCACAATTCATAGCGCGGCGGTGGGTGTGGATAATTTTGCCGCAAAATACGGCAGAAGGGAGCGGCCGAAGAGTGAACTGTCAAAAGTAAGTATGATGTCACTTATTTATGTGCGAATGTTTAATAGCGAAGAACATTAAAACATTGCTGTTGGCCACATGTCGGCAAAGTTGTGTGACATTAGTGATGTTTGTACTTTCAGCGTTAACTTGGTTTTAAAGCCTCTACACACAAACACACACACACACACACACACACACACACACACACACACACACACACACACACACACATATATATATATATGTGTGTGTGTGTGTGTGTGTGTGTGTGTGTGTGTGTGTG